TGACTATAATGTATTAAAATGATTAATTAATGTTAAATTTAGAACGCACTAGTCTAGATGTTTCAGTTTATATACATATATTAAGGGTGTTTAAACATTCTCTCTAAATGAAAATCTATCTGAGGGCTGTGGTCAAATGCAATATTATAATTCATGAAATCCAAATACTTCTTAAGTACAGTCATTTTATTTTAATGATTATGTACTGCTGGAGTGTGACATGATTTGTTTGTGTACAAACTAATACGGTATCAGAATTTTATATATTTATACTTCTCATTCAACCACAGTAAAATTCTCTCTATCGAGGAGGCACATTTTATAAAGATAGTATTTATTTTTTACAATAACAAGCTGGAATGAAAACAAGCAAAAATGAAATAAAACTAACGACTTTCTACTTAATGTCTTTTTTAAAAATGTAGTGAGTAGAAAGTACAGATAATTGTGTGAAAATGCAAGAAGTAGAAGGAAAAAGCAGGCTGAAAAAAATTACTCAAGTAAAGTACAGATACCCAAAAATTCTACTTAAGTACAGTAAAGAAGTATTTGTACTTAGTTACTTTACAACTCTGCAAGCAGCCATTACTTCAACTGCCAATGTTCATTCAATAAGCAAAATGGAAGTGATGGGCTTCTACTATATATGCTGCTTGTTGCAAGCAAAAATTCAGAACATAAATCGTGCACACAATACATAGGTGTGCAGTCAAGATCTGTCCCTATGGAGTAGTAACTACCAACTTCATTGTTGTTAACATGTTTCTTTCTGAATATCTGGACCCAAAGTGCATGAAAATGTAAATAAAAGTTGAATAGTTGGGGTCTGTATGGTACGACAGAGTATTAGGGCCACACAACGAGATTTTTTTTWAAATCATGAGAATAAAGTCATAATATCACGAGATTAAAGTTGTATGGAAAAAAAGTCATAATATTATGAGAATAAAGTCGTAACACTATGAGATTAAAGCCAAAATTTTATGAGAATAAAGTGGTAATTTTACGAGATTAAAGTCATAATTTTCTAAAATTAAAGTCGTAATACTATACCCTTTACATGTAAAAGCATGCCATTACCACTGTATTAAAATGAGAAATGTTGAGCAGCTTGTCAAGTTGTTCTTTAGTATTGCTTAAAATAAATAGGTAATCTTTTAGCACATTAGCAACAAATTATCAGTAGTAGGACTTGGAAATTGAGCAAACAGCTATATGATAAACTGAAGCTGTATTGACAGATTTAGTCGGCACGTWGCTAATTTGGATGAAAGCATGTTTATCTAACAGTGACCCAAGTCATCGCGGACTACTTCATAAACATGGCTGTCCACAGAAGGTGTGGGGAAAATAAGGAGGAAATGAGGAACGGAAAATGGACATGTCATGTAAGATTATGACTTTTTTATTCTATTGTGACTTTACTGTTGTAAAATTACGACTTTAATCTCGTAATATTATAACTTTACTGTCGTAATAAAAAATTAAAGGGGCAATATAATGTAAAATCAACTTTTTTGAGTTTTATATCATGTTATAATGTTATACTCTCATAAAAAAAAACATGCCCAAAGCCTTGCTC